TCCGTCACACAGATTTTCCCCCGTACTTTATGTTGTCTTGAGGAGGATTTCAAATCACATTTACATGTATGTAACTGGCTAGAGATCATCCCTGGTCAATAGCCCATTTCTGAGTTGTCTCAAGCCTCTCTATCAAAGCGAGGCCTGGTGCACAATCATTTATATGAAAATTAGTTTAATTTGCATGTGAATGAAATACATTTTCATATGAAAGAACAGGCGCCAAGACTTGCTTTGAGAGAGAGGCTAAAGGTAATGGCCTATTTGCCAGGCTGCCGGTCAAAATGGCAAATTTATTAGACGGCGGCCATATTCGTATTCTTGAGACTGAATTGGACCTAGCTTGCAATGGAAAGCATTGTGAGGGAATGTTGTTTTTTAAAGACAACTTCTTCTCATACCTTTATAGGAGAATCTTTGTTTACAATATTTGCCTCATTGCCATAAGCGATACAGTTTCTGACGGAGCTATAAAGAGATTAATACTGAATATTGAAAGGGCACAGCACGATTAACTGTCCCAAGGAATTTGAGCGCGATGTATTGAATACTTTTTGTGCGACGTGGGTTTAAAAGCTCAAAATTTTACAAAGAATGTATAAACTCATTAGCGCTTCTGCCACACAGAGATTTTGATGCTTTTAAAAGCCAATTTCTCCTCGAATATTACACCTAAGGAGCCAAAACTTTCACCACTTACTAAGTTTCACAAGCTCTTTAAGTTTTTCTAGTAAAATTGTGTCTAGCATAATGCCTTCTATGCGCAAAGTCGTATGTTAATGAGGAAAAATGTAAACAATGACGTCAGCAAAGATTCGCCTATATGCCCCCACATCAGTCTCCTTTGCAAGCCTATTCCCGTTTAATCCTGAGAAGACGAAAATGGCCTATTATCTCATGACAAACTGTTTATGCAGGATTGACAACTCGTTTTCGGCATAAAGTAACTTAAGGACTGGACCAGTGGACTCTTGGATAATTGGACTGTTGGACTATAAAAAATAACAAGTAAAAGAATAGTCCTGCAGTCCAATGGTCCACGAGGCCACTGGCACCAATGCACAAATTACCCTATTCCTATTTTTTTTAGACAGATTGATTTTCATTGCACGACGACTCATGCACTCTAAAGTAGTTCAGTTTATAATATTCCATTATTCAGAATATTTCGTCGGTGATAATTCAGAATGACTTAAATATATTAAATTGTTTGATAGGACTTGGACAGCTGCCGAAGGTCCGAAAAAAGACGTTTATAATATTGGTAAGTTGTTCTGTGTTTTCAAGGCTTATGTTGTATCGCACTTTGATTTGGATCACTTTAGAGGTCAACGATCGGTCATTTTTTAGTATTTTCTCTAATTTAATTGCGCTGTGTTTGGTGAGCAATAAAACGCGCATTTGTAGCGAGTTAGAAAAAGAAAACCTGCGTTATGCGAAGCAAAATCACCAAATTTTGCGTATTACTCAAAACGTGAGACAAGACATCAAGGCGCCGGATTTTTCCTTTTTGTCTGTAAGATTTGCGACTCGAACAACGTGCTGTAAATATGATATTATAGTCGTCTTCTCAGTATACATGTATGCCCGGCCGTATAAGCATAGTTGTTGTTGATAGTCAAATACAGTCGTGGTCTTCATTGCTATATCCAGTGTTTACACTTGTGCCGCATTTCCATTGCCAAATGAGTGTTAATAAGTGTATTTAGAGAAGTATGTGTATTGATCAAATCGAACATTTGGAAACTCTATCAAGGGTCATCATGTTGTGTATTTGATTTCATGTTAGAACCGAACGTAAACAAACATTGTGATAGACAGAGCAGTGGCTTTGAACATGCTTTACATTGTATTTCTCAAACTCATCAATAATTCATCAAGTTTAAACAAAGGAAATCATGACCGCGACGGTGTTTGGATATCTGATCTTAATTAGC